GTTTAGCTGTGTCGTTCTAGACATTTTTTCTCGCAAGAATCTACCTTACATATTTATAAGTCTACCATTCATCCTTGCTTTGAATATTACTGCCATATAGGGTCTGGTTCTACTGATACATATTTATAGATTATTGATAAATCTAAAGAACCTGCAACGTTATTGGTCCTTACCTGGCATCTCGGCTTCAGTCACTTTTCTACAGGCGTAACACATCTTCTCTGTGCCTTTTCTATAAATACTATCATGGTAATTGTTCCGATGAACTTACCTCTTTGGTACAAATTGTACATATGGGAACTATTGGTTTGGTGCATAATTATCAGGCGTTTTTAAACAATATTTATTATGAAAATAGAAACGTAATTCAATAATAGAATTTTTAATTTATTATTCCGGACCGTATGATTATCAACACGCTTTTTTATAACCTGAAAATAAAGTAAAACAAAACAGCAATTTTTATTAACAAATAACTCACCTAGAAAAACGCCTGATAATTATGCACCAACCCAATATTTCAGATTTCATAGAGACTGTGAGGTATTATGGTGGTTGTTGTAAGAGTGGTAAGTAAGATTTTTTTTTTTTTTTGGTTAAGGAAAACTGTGATATGTTTGGGTCAGTAATTATGGCTAGCTAAGATGAAAATAGGAGACAGATTGAAGACGAACCCCCCCATTATCTCCCATTTTGGCCTTGTGCCACATTTTTGTATTATGCAAAATAAATATTACTTTTGTCTTTGGTACCTAGACTTTATGAATTTAAGTGCACTACTAGACTGGAGACAAGTTCTCATCATTTTACAGTTGAAAATGGCTAGAGGAACTGTAAGTTCTATGCTAACAGGTTTTTTTTTTCTGTTTTACCTCTCAATAAAGGTTCTTTTTTCTCAGTCAACTTTGATCTTCAAAAATGTACATGTAATGTTTAAACATTATCTTCTTCTCTTTTTGTTCTCTCTCTTTGATAACTTTTTTTTTCTCATATCCTCTAACACTAAGTAGCCCATTGTGTCTTAGTGGCTTTATTACCTTGCTTGGTGTGAAATGATTAAAAAAAAAGAAGTACATAACTGAATAACTTCATATTGTAGAAAAATGAAAATAATATGCCACGGTCAGGTAGACTAGTTGAAGTAATAAATAATAAATTACCCGAGAATACGTATTCTTATAACAACTCGGGATAAATAGTTCAATAGATCTTTTTTTATTATTTTTCTGTGAATTTACCATGATGTCTTCGGAAATACTTTCTCATTTCCTTCGCCACGTTTTTGAATTTAGATCGCCTTCCCCTACACAGGTTGCCACTCAGAGCTAGTGAGGATAGTCTACTCTGCTATTTAACCCTTAGTTTGGTTGGGAAGGAAAATGGATATATGTCTTACCCAGATTTATATGGCCAAAATTAATGTAACTCAACCGAAATTCGAACTCAGTTTGCCGATTCCACTTTCAACACCGACAAATGTTCTTCTAACTGCACATCGCATGCTAAAAGTATTTTTATGTCATGTTACGATAATGGCTCTCCAGATTTCTTTTCTTTATCTATGAATTATTATGCATTCTTGGGAAAGTTAGTAGTTTCCAGTTGGCTTATCCACGGTTTATGGGCGCGTGGCTAGAAAGTTCTCTTTCTGACCATGAGACTCGGGTTCGAATCTCACCATAGTCGATTTTTCAGGAACGTGACTTATTGGTGTTATCGGTCTGGAATAAGCGATCCCAGCATTCAAAACCTTTGGAAAGTACCTGTCTGAAAACCATACCTTGTGAGTGAAATTGAGTAGACGCCACCCTTGAGAGCCATCGATGGTTGTGTTAGCCCGAAGCCACACGTCATCGTGACCAAGGGCTTGTTAGACATGTTCAGACTGTTAATCACGCAAGATAACGCGCACTCCAACTTGACGAATCCAATATTTCAATCCATTGGATGGGAAGGAATTTTTATAATAAAGAGCATTTGTCTGAGTGTATGGATATGTTGTAACCTAAAAAAAGATTACTGAATGAGGAATAACCAAATGGGGGCCTGAAATGAAACGTTTATCTTTATAACATCAACATGATACAATACTCGCCAGCGGCGTGAAGAAGGTAAACCACTGCTGGACTACATAGACAACATATTACCATAATTACGGTATATAACAGGATGTCAAATTTAACCTCTAAAAATGCAGCATTTAGACACTTGTTAGTGTTATAAATTTCGCTTTCTGACGTGAGACTCGGGTTCGAATCTCAACATGGTCGATTTGGCAGAAAGGTACTTATTGATGTTATCGGTCTAGAGGGGAGTGACCCCAGTGGGCGGCACTTTTGGAAAGTGTCTAAAAAACCATACCACGGTTTGACCCAAGCCTTGTAAGTTAAATTGGGTAGACGGATCCCTTGAAAGCCCTTGATGGTTGTGCTAGCATAAATTCTCAAGTCATCGAGACCGAGGCTGGCCTTGTTCAGACTGCTGATCACGCTAAAAACTGGAACTATGGTCCGCCCAGCATAGTTGCAGTATAAACCACAGGTGGGCTCTGTGGGTGTTGAACAAACTCTAAATGTGCCTGAGCAGGCGTCTGCAATGGGGATTAACTAGTCGTCCTGGTAAACTGGTATCCACGGATTCGAGTATCTACGCCATTTACATATTTGTTATCCACGGTTTAAAAGTGTTTCTCTTCTCTTAAACTGTTACTAATCAAGGCTCGAAAGCCCAGTCTACACTGTTAGTTAGGATATTGAATTCGGATTACAGTCATCTTTCTGTACTGTTAATAATTATTTATCATTTTCAATTAGTCCTATACACCTTTAGAATGTGCGTTTTGGTGTAATGCTTATCGTTACGGGATGTCGTCCTGAGTATGACGATAGACTACATCCGCGTCCTGGGTAAGACAATAAACTACGTCCAGGAGCAAGGCCGCTGATCAGGAGGTTTTTGAGGAGCGTGGAACCACCACTTAATTGCTGGTGTTCCCAGGTCCACCCTGACCCGGGGTGGTAGCACCTGTAAGGGTCCCAGCTATGGGCAAATAGTTAATCCCGAAACTGGGGTAAAAATGGGTTTTAATATCAGGAATACTTTGTAAAAAAAAATATTATCAGCAATAAATTTTTGAAGAAAAAAAAACTATTACTAGCAAGGCATTTTTTTTTAATTATTACCAACAATACGTTTTTGAAAAAATATTACCAGCAATAAAAACTTTGTCGGTATTAAATAACCCATTGAGGTTGATATGCTGTAAAACACAACAAACGTCATGGAATGAGAAGTCGGAGAGCCGAGTTCGAATCCCAATCGAGTTTGTTATATTCACTTATGCACAAATACCCTTGGGAAAGTTATGAATCGACCTCTTCTCCTCCCAGCTATGGGTTGAATAACAGGAGAGACTGGGATCTTTAGAATCTTTTTGGAAACTAGTCTACCGTAGAAATAAACGGCAACCTACTGCGGGAAAAATCGTCTACCTCTACGATCACCTTAACTGAGTGACCTTTAGGATATAAGTGAACATGACTCTCCACAATTTCCTTTCCACACTTAAAATATTCTTGATTTTATGTCTAATAAAATCATTGACAAGAACAGAAATAGAATGGACCTTTTGTTGTTCGAGTATACGAAGAATTCTTTAAAATACTTATTTATAAATTTCTATCGAACAATGGCTTTGTCTGAATGAATACGAATCTAAAATTGTCTTATTTTCGTTAGATATTATTTTCATTCGGAGTGGTGCCATAAATTAGTTCGAGTACATTTTGATTTCGGTCAACACATTGTGTCAAGAACGTGTCCGAGTTTCAATAAGTCTTCCTTTATTTGTGACTGTCAGATTTAATTAAATCAAAACCGTTGTTAACTTCTACTTGATAACAGAGCTGGGGTTAGAACGGAACTTTTCGGGGGCTTCATTTTCAGACGTGACTTTACAAGAAGGTCACTCATTACAAAAGAAAAACATTTCCTAAAACTTGCAAATCATTAAGAGCGCACAGCAGTAAGGACTAAAAGAAGAATCCGTTTTCTGACGTGACCACAAGTACTTCAATTAATATCTTGGTAAGTAGGGTCAAGAGGTCATTTCTCATCCGCCACTTATGCGAAACGTTTTTCTCATATATTATATTAGAGGCACTTCGACGTAATGCAATGTTTAGCAAGATTACCCCGCTAGATTAATTACGACTGAGTAATGAGTTCGTTCGTCAAGTGTGCTCTATATTTCCGGCCTTGTACCTCATCTAATCAAACTTAGATCAATTACAGCTGAATGGTGAGGCACGGTGGAGTAATGGATTGAGGAATCGGAGAGCCGAGTTCGAATTCCAGTCGAATCCATTACATTCACTTACGTTCTAATACCCTTGGGAAAGATGTGAATCCTCTTCTTCTCCCCCCAGCAGGACAGACTGGGTTCTATAACCTTGGATGGCAACTGGTCTAGGAGAAGGAAAACTGAATTCAAAACCTGCGAAGGGTCGTTTGAAGACCATGTGGCCCATAGTGCACCAGGTCTCTGTAATCGGCCCTTCAAAAAGTGTGGATGGTCCTGCACGAAACGTTCACCACTATAATCAAATCTCATGTGCTATACATGCGGGTTGGGGACCACTTGTGAATTCCAAAATCCCCATGAAACTCCAATATTGGCTCAACCGACATCGGGTGAGTGCCGTTACAAGAACAAGAGAAGAAAGAGAATGGTGAGTTCGATCCTCACTGGGTACCCCATACTTTCGGCCTTGGGCCATATCTCATCAACGCTTAGTAAATCATTCGGGCTGCAATGTTTAGCAAGCTTGTCACGCTACATCAATTATCACTGAATAGTGAGTTCGATCCTCACTGAGTGCACCATATTTTTGGCCTTGGGCCACAGCTAAGCTACGCTTAGTAAATCATCATTAGATTCGGATGAATTTCTAAAACAGACCATCTTTTTTTATCAACACAGGATCCTTTTCACAAATGAAATGCTCTTTTATACAGCAGTAAATATTTTCTGTGGAACATAGCTAACTCGGTAAATATCAAAAAAGAAAATTTAGAAAGTCTAAAAAAAGCATTTTTGATAAAATTATGGACAAACGTGTCCACAATAACACTTAAATCAAAAAGACGTTTTTTTACCCCATTAGACCGCTTTTTTTAACTATCTTCAATCTTCAACAATGTTTAGTGTCTTAAAAAGCGATGATTATTGTTGTCGGTCGGTGTACGCGTTGTAAGATAAACACGTGTGTCTTCTGAAATGCCACAACAAACATGGCGGACTCGGAATATGAGTCCACCTAAAAGAAATGTAAAGAATCAACAAAATTGATATATATGTACAAACAAATGAATATGTATTAACAAACAAAGGTTTACAAGAGACAAAGACAATATTGTGTGTGTAACGAATGAATGTGGAAATTTTGTGGCGTATTTGTTGTGAGTGAATGTGCATACGTACGTGTATGTGTGTGTAGTGTTCAATGCGTTTCTCATGGTGGGAAAAACGCTATCTTCTGCGAGAGATTTTACATTATTGACGTATAAACGGAAAAGTAAGAAGATATTCACTAACCGCCCCACGCGGTCGGATGTGGCACAAGGCCGAGTTTATTGCAGGATATCTAAGCCCGTAGGCTCGACCAAAAGTTCTACGTAGACCCCGTAAAAACGGGGTCGGGTATCTGTTATCACAGACGAAACCCTTCGACATAACCTCGTCTGGGGATTCTCGCTGCACGGAGGCAGAGAGTTGGACTTGCACACTTGGAAGTGAATTGCAAATGGAAGTAGGATGCGGTCAGATGTGGCACAAGGCCGAATTTAATGTGAGGTATCGAAGCCCGTAGACTCGGCCAAAAATTTCCCATAAGCCCTGTATAAAACGGTGTCGGGTAGTTGTTTACCGAGACGAGACTCTGTCCTTCGACATAGCCTCGTCTGGGGATCCTCTCTGCCCGAAGGCAGAGAGTTTGATCAGCACTCTTGTAAGTGAATCGCAAAAGTATGTAGAGGGCGAGAAAGATATCGCCGAGTATTTATAATGTTGGAGAGCGTCCCCTAGGAGCAGCTTCGAAAATTAGAAGGAAATAACCAGACATTATAATTGGAATAAATTTAAACACATGATAAAAGTGAATTTATACATTTTTTTGTTTTTGAGAATTTACAACAAAAATATTAAACACTATTTAATTGTTAAATTGTTTATTTACAAGAATAATTTTATGTTTACAACATTCTAATTCAATTAGAATACTAATTCAGTTAGAACTAATGCAGTGCAATATTTATCATTTACTAATTTATAAGGAAATAAATGGGAAAACATTTTTTATTTATAAACATTTACTAAATTATTAAAATTTATGATGAAGTTCTTCTTGTTTACTATTTTGGATCGATTAGCAATTAGCCATTTTTTACCAACCATTCAATAAACAATCTAATAAATAGTTTGTTTGTTTTTTATTTTGTTGTGAATTCGCAAGAACAAATATATGTATAAATTCACTTTCATATTTATTACAATTCTAATCACTTTTAAAAACAATAAACATCGTCGAAAAGTGAAGGTAGTTTAGATAAGCGGTGTCATGTGAAAAACCGTCCTTTTTGCAATCTGTCTTATTGCAGGCATGTTTGTCCATGTTTGCTAAAACTGGTTTACTCTGTTGCTAGGCAGTCAGAATAGTTGACTGATTTATTGAAAAAAAAGGATTCATACCATAAGTGTATTGGGAATGGTATGAATGAATATAATGGATTCGAATGGAATTCGAACTGGGCCCTCCGATTCGTCAATCCTAGCCGCTACCCATTACTCCACCGTAAGTCTCATGGCTTTACTGATATCGATTTGTAATTAGCATTTTGGGTTCATCCCTTTTAATGATAACCATTCATTCTGTCTTCTTGTAGTTTATACTTAGTCCTTTCTTCTCGCTTTCCTTCGCTACCTTTCTGTTTTTGTAGATTTCTTTTCGTGCCTGCTATTAATACTGCGTCATCAGCATATGTCTACGTAGCTGGTAGGACAACTAATTCTCTGTATAGGTTGAGTAAGTCCGTTGTGACCTTAATATAACTATTTTCATATTTTCACTGCCTAAAAGTCAGGTGCAAAATAATATGAACTCCATCGGATGATCATCGTAATGAGCCACATAACAAAACCCATCATCCGAATTCTGATGAGTAGAGCGCGTAGCACAATCAAATCAGAGATAAGACAAGAACAGTAGAATAATCAGGAAGATATACTAGCATCAAACCGCCTGCATACGGATAGAGAAAGTGTTTAGCAGAAAGACAACAATAGATAGTATAAGAGGTATAAGACAAGGATGTGACGTCTCACCAGACTTGTTCCACTTATACTATCGAAAATAAATGAATAAATCTGGATAACATATCTATTTATGTCTAAAGAATTAATGGATTTGTTTTTGTTTTTTTTAGGTTCGATATGATTTTATTGCTTTAAACGTTATCAGTGGATATCCGGCCCTCTTCAGGTGGTTGGAATGTCGAACTGAACCCTTTATTTCGCTCACCGGGGTAGACTGTTCTAGTTCCACGTGCCATGTTTTGATGGATGTCAGTTATCAGTTATCTCCTGTTAATTTCCCTCTGAAAGTTCTCCACTGCCTAAACCGGGTATTGAACTCACACTCTTTGGGTCCTGTCACTGGATCTAACCTAGGTTTATAATACCCAGAAATTCATACCCAGATGTCCTCAAGGACACATGGCACAGTGGATAAAGGCGTTGGCTAGATCCAGTGACCCAAAGAGTGTGAGTTCAATAAATAAATAGAAATATAGGCAGACTCAGTGGGCATCCGTATTTGAGTAGACGCCCTGTTTATTTTAAACAGTATTTGTTTCGGCTACAGGCCTGCGTACTCGAGAAAACTTACAGAAAGTGTGCCCTCCGACAAAGTTCGAACATGCGTCCATTCTTGCCTGCTTTTACCGCTAGGCTACAAAGAACTATTAAATAACGTTTCTATCTATCTCTATCTATCTATCTTTCTCTCTCTCTCTCTCTCTCTCTCTCTCTCTATTTATCTATTACTTGAATTATTTACATTATTCGGACTTTTACCACACATTCATTTGCGACGTTTCGGCCGTTGTACGCTCCGGTCTTCTTCAGGGGATTGGAACCCTTTATTTTTTACCAGTGCTCATATTGCAATTGTTTCTGTTATTATTATTGTTCTAATTTCACGTGCAATGCCTCTTCCAGATTTAACTCTCCAAGTCTGGGTTCACCAGTGCTGTGGCCTGGTACTCTTTCGGTCTAGTCACTGGATCTAACCAACGTCTCTATCCACTGGGCTATATGTCCACGAGGACATCTGTGTATGAAATTTTGGGACTTATAAACCTAATGTCTCAGCAAACGTTTTTTTTTGCTAGTGCTCATATTGCAATTTTTTCTGCTATTATTATTACATTTTTTACCAGAGATTATATTACACTTTTTGTTTTTATTAATTGCTTTTCTCTAGCACTCCTTATTACTAGTTCGCATATTGTATTCATTTCTATGTTTGGTCGGCTCAGGAGATTTTTGTGGGTTAGCATATGTGCTGATTCCTTAAGTTTTCGTATTTTCTAGTGATATTCTCTGTCTATTATTTTAACCTTATCCACAAGGAGGGGGCATGATCTCCCTTTTCCCTCCATATGTGGTTAGCTACGCCTGATTTTTCTATTTGCCCTCATGGTACCTCTTTACAATGTTCTTGTTGTCTTACCTTAAGGGGGCGGCCTGTTTCGCTTTTGTATTTCTTACCACAGCTGCACGGGATGATGTACACACAGTTCTTAGTCACGTTCTCCTCTATAGGGGGTCATACTCGGAAGAGGTGTCTGCGAAGTGTTAAACCACTTTTGAAGGTTGCCCTGATGTTATATGGACCACAGATCATTTGTATTTTCTCCGATAATCCCTTCACATAGGGTAGGCAGACTTAAGCTGTTTATTGAGTTGTTATCCTCTTGTACCCTTTCTCAGTTTGTTAGAGCTGCTGCTATGTACCCAGGGTAGTTGTTACGTTGTAGGATACGGCTTATACTGACCAGTTCTTGTTCATATGTTTCTGGGTCGCCACTTATGACTTTTTGTTCGATATTGTAAGCAGCGGACGATCCCTTTCTTTACACTGTATGTGTGGTGCGAGTTGAAGTTGAGGTATTGTCCAGTGAATGTTAGTTTGCGGTATACAGATGTCTTGAACCCCTACTCTGTTAGAGATATTCGTACATCCAGAAAGGTGCATTGTGAACTGTATTAATGATCCTGTTGAGTTCACATGGTCCAGTAGTAGTTCCTGGTGTGGCCAGAGTAGGAAGGCCTCAACTACGTATCTCAACCATGGGATTGGCTTTAGTGGTGTTCATGCTAATGCCATTTCCTTAAAGTATTCCATATATAGATTTACTATTGCTGGTGATAAGCCCTCATCCTGTCGATATATGTCTGATCCTATTCCGATGTATGTTGTTTGCGTACAGAAAGTCATTTTCTTTACTACTCCGTTCACCTAGGGAGGTGTCAGATGCTAGTCTCTCACTAACTACAGAGAGTACCTCCTCTGTGGGTATCTTGGTGAATAAGCTCACCACGTCTAGGCTCACCATCTAGTTGGAGTGGATGGGAGCATCTTTGATTATTTTCACGTAGTGGGCAGATCATCTGGATATACTAATATCCCGAACAGAGCAGGGGTTCAAAATCCAAAACTTGGAGAGATGAGGTGAAGGGAAATAACTGAGACACCCGGAAGAGGCATAGCAAGAGGAACTAGAAAAATCTACCCGGTGGACGAAATAAAGGGTTCCGTTCGAAATCCTTATCACCTGAAGTAGGCCGGAGCGTACAACAGCTGAAACGTTGTAAATATGGCAGTGAAGATGAGGATAACAGTCCGAATAATGTAAATAATGCAGGTAATCATAATACCTCATCTCAGAGATATAGACAGCTATATCTCTATGTCTATCTAGCTATATTTCACTCTCTATATCTATCTATCTATCTATCTATCTATCTATTTATCTTTCTTTCTATCTATGTGTCTATATCTATCTTACTCTCTATCTTTCTTTCTCTCTATATATTATTTCTCTTTAACCGTCTGTCTGTCTGTCTGTCTGTCTGTCTGTCTGTCTCTCTCTCTCTCTCTCTCTCTCTCTCTCTCTCTCTCTCTCGCTACCAGTCTCTCTATCTTCCTTTCTATCGATCTGTCTCTCTATCTACCGGGATTTGAACAAGCTCTTGTCATCCACCAGCTTGATTGCCCACTTACCAAAGGCGAAATAGCTATAGCTGTCAGCCATATGAATGTCGGAAAGGCCCTGGGTGTGACTGCATTCTTGCTAAACTGATATATCCCTTTTCATCATCTATCATTAGCCGTGGGATAACGACAAAACCGCCCAAGTTTGGAAAGATGCCACCCTTCTGTATCGGGAATGACACAAAGACATATTCGATGACCACCGTTAGATTTTCCATCTATCTCTTGTGGTTAAGATTCTTTTCAACGATACTTCTGCTGCACCATGTTGCACATGACATTCTGCCTGAATCAATGTTGTTTTCGACCAAACCGAGGTAAATTGACGTGTTATCTATCTCGCGACAAGTTCAAAAGCCACAAATGGATCAGTTCATGTGTATATAGATCTAACAAAAGGCTTTGGTACCGTCAACAAGCCAACTCTTTGGAAAATCTTTTTAAATCTGGGCTGTCAAGACATTGTTTATAGGTTTTATTCGATTCTTTCATCGCATGGGTATGTGTCAATGTCATCTCGCAAAGTTTCTCAAGCAGCGAGGCTGGCATATATATATATATATATATATATATATATATATATATATATATATATATATACAATATGGGAAAACTTTTTCAAAGCCGCCACCTTTTATGTTCCGTGTCATTTCAGGACGTATATCAAAGCTCTCCACAACTTCTTGCTAGTCCTGAATATTACGATAAACTACATCCGGCAGCAAGGCTTCTGATTGATTGATTGATTGATTGGGGGTGTTGACTTGTGTGGAACCAATTCTTGATTGCTGTTGTTTCCAGGTGCACCTTGACTCGGGGTGGTAGCAGTTATTAGAGTAACAGCTATGGGCAAATATAGTTTGAGGGTTTTTGGGGGTTTTTTTCTGGTGGTCCACGAAGTAGAAATTATGGTAAAAATACCAGCAATATGGTATATATATATATATATATATATATATATATATATATATTAAAAACGACAGACAACAGTTGCCTAACTACGGTTAACCATTTTATTTGATTTTTCTTGTGTTCGCACAAGAGCTTCCTTTTTTGGGAAACAGAATGTATAGAAATTGTGCAAATGTTCTATAGTTGCGAGCACTTTCGGCTATACCTTTCGCCATTATCATTATTTTATAATTATTTTTCAGTTTAATTGAGTGTGTACGTTATGTTTATGTTTTTAGTGTGTTATAGAGGTGTTTTATTTTCCGAATACGGTTAGAACGTTGTGGCCTAGTTCGTAGTTAATATTGTTAAGAGTTGGCTTTTTCTTTTTTTATTAGTAGGGCTTCCATTATTTTTAATCTTTTTTACAAGTGGATGAGGTTATGTCTGTGTGACAAACACATATAATAAGTCTTTGCATTCTTTATATATTAATATAGTGACCATTCTTCTCAAAAACAGCCAGTAATCTGTTATCTATTGATTTTTTACTTCAGCAGGTTCAATTTCCGACAGGTTAGTTTTAATTGCTTCCCACCTTCATATAATTTCATCTTCACCATTGACCATAAATTTTCGATCGGATTCAGATCAGGACTTGATGGTGGCCATTCTTTTATTTATTTCTTGTAAATCTTTAATGCTCAAAGAATTCACGCATAAGCTTTAGATACACGAAAAGGAGCATGGTTGTGCATAGATATACACTTCACTTTGAAATTGCAAGACTTGTACCATACAAAGAAAGTCTTTTTCATCAAATCACAATGGATATCACTCTTCAATTTAACTCCTTCATCGACTCTGAGTTGTCTAATAATGGTTTGGATGACAATTCAATCCCATATCATAACACTACAGCCTCCTTGTTGCCTTCTTTTAGCCACAGGATAAAATCTTATTCCCATCAGGTTCATCAAATATCACTCGACATTCGTTCATGAAAATTACTTCAGAAAAGTCAATTCACGTGTATTACTTAGACCAATTTTGACGCTTTAAAATATTTGCTTTAGTGAGAGGAAGTTGCCAAGGAGTCTTTTAACAGATCCCAATGACAAATTATTCTACAACTTTTGTCATTCTTGGCTCCCTCTATTCCAGATATTTCCAAGATATGGGCGCTGGTCAAAAGTTGTTGTTTCGATATAACTCGCTTTAGTTTACGTTCATCTTGATAAAGCAAGTTCTTAAAGCCTTTTCTTTTGCTTCGATTTCTCCAATGTGGACATTCCATCATTCAATGATTTTATTTTCTGTTTTTCAGCAGTTGTTAGATCCTTCTCTTTATCTATGTTTCAACATATAAATATTATAGACAAAAAGAAAAATAGTTTTATTACATTTCAGAGGTCTTAAACTCGTATTTAGTTTAATCTGCATACTAATTTCAGTCAGTCTATTTTCGTCAGTTCCAAATATCTCAAAAACTAACCATTCAAAATGGCAGGAGATTTAGTTAAATATTTTACTAAGGGTGGAAATGGACGATTTTAATTTGACAAATATTGGTTCAGAACTTTTTGAGTTATTGATGTTTATTTGATTTGTATAACTTCAAACAGGCTGTACAGGAATGAACTTAAAAACATTCCCTCCCCAAAGTGTATAGACAAATAGTATAGATGCATGCTGGGATTTCTTCCTATCCAATAGGATAGACCACTTCTCGGTCTCATCCGCCATATTCTTGTTCTTGCTTGTCTTGAATTCAGAACGCTACAATCACTTATCTGCATCCCTGTCGGGTGAATACTATTCTTACTTTAGGAAGTGTGCCAATTTTTCATTTGCATATAGATGTATTAAAAATACTTTTACAAAATTTGGGTCGTGTTTCTGAAACCAAAACAAAGTAAAATGTCTATATAATCATATGTCCAAAAGGCCATCGTCAACACAGCAACTCATAAAAATGTTCAAAATGTCCTCCGCTTGCTTCTACACCCGTCAAATCATTGACTGGCGATCTCTTTCAAATACTCCCACACAGTGTCGAATGGTTTCACAGGAACCCATGATACGCTGATGAAGCGTCTCTGCATTATTTGACAAATATTGATTCAGAATTTTTTGAATTATTGAGGTTTATTTGATTTGTATAATAATTTCAGACAAGAACCAGTACAAGATCCCATTTCTTAAGGACTATTAAAGAGATACAATCTGGTTAACATACTTTATGGGGATCCACATTAGAGATGATAGCAGAATCCATGGAAAATTTTATAAAATTATCATTGAACAGATATTCAGTCAGGCAAGGATTTTCCTGATGATTTAAGGGTAGGGTTTAAAGAGAATCTACAGGCGTAACAATCTCCTTTATCAACAGATGTTAACATATCAAATTGATTGAAGAGAGGGGTGTTGTTCATGTTCGTCTTCGAGTATAGAATCCAGAGGTTAGCAGTGAATATTTTGAAGACAGTAGGAAAGCGTTGTTCAGGTTAGCAGTGGATATTTTGGTAAAAGTAGCAGAGCATAGTTCGTCCTTCTGGTTCTCTTCGCCTGACAAGCTGGACTGGACATTCGGGTAGAGTAGACAAAATGGCCGCCTTTATACACGACGGATTGAATGTTCTACGTCTTCTGATTGGTTAACCTTCTACTGGTGGACTATAAAGTGAGTCAAGTCATTTGAGCTAACTCACGAGTAGATAGATATACACAAAAAACTGCAATAAGGGGGGGATAGAAAACTTCCTCTTAATTAATTAACTATTACAGAGCAACCAGTCGTCACGATGGCTAAAATTGTTAGGTTCATAACAGTGGCTCATTCTTTCAACAAAGGAATCTTAGCTCCTTCAAGGACACGTTTACATTTGTTACGTGCAGCCACAAAAAAGGCTTTTTTTGTTGATCGGAACTGTCACGCTGGTATAGCTGGAAAAAGCAATTCATAAGCTTTATAGCTGCAGAACAGGCGTGAACCATGGAGAAAAAGGAGATGACACCTGATACTTCCGAGAAGGAACAAAAGCGACTATGTAGGCACTGACCCAAGAAGAAACCCCATTGGCACAATTCCTAATAAGAAGGTTAAAAATATCAATCCAAGGAGCGACTCGAAGAATGTTTTGTTAGCCAATCAGTATGCTGGTAACAGAAACAGGTCTGAAGAATAGAGGGTTCCTGTCTAATAGATGATTGAAACGAAATATCAATAAATTTTATAGCGTGATCAGAGTTACAAAAAGAACAGTGTGGCTCGACAAGAACTAGCAGAGGAGGTAAAGAACAAATCCAGTAAAGAAGCACGTTGATCAGAATTAGTAGAGAAAATCACTATTTGACTGATTTATTGAGCAACGAAAAAAATGTTAGTCTGAACACCGGCAACCTCTCACCCTGTACGCACACACACACACACACATACATACATACATACATACATATTGTATATATATATATATATATATATATATATATATATATATATATATATATATATATATACACATATATACATATATATACACATGCATATATATGTATGCATATATATATATACACACACCCATATATGCCCATATACATATGCATACACATATATATACGTATATATACACACATATATATATATATGCACACACATACATGTATATATACACAAACACATATATATATATATACATACAAAAATATGCATATATCTATACATACACACGCGTACATATATATTTATAGATATACATATGAATATATATATATATATATATATATATATATACACACACAATGCGCGTTCAATTATATGTGCGCATGTATAACTCTGTGCGTGTATACACTCACGTGTTATCTATTGGGAACACTTATGTATATTAGCTTACGAACCGAGCCAATCAGATTCAAACAATGGCGTCATAGGCCTGTCATAAATCTCACAAAACATGAATGGAAAGAAATATCTTCCTTACTAATCAACAGCAATGAATAATCTCTATTGAAAATGGTCATTCTAATTCATGAAATGCTTCGTTTTGTCTCTCGAGACTAGCAAGTGACGCATCAGTCTTACACTTCCCCAGTATCCCCTTTTGCTCAGCTACCTTGAGTGTGTGTATTCTCAATCAT